TGATTGTGGGTGGCATTTGGTGGACTCGTTTCAAAAGGTGGGGTCTGAGAGAGTCCATGGGCCAGGTGTGGGTGTGGTGTGGGCTGCTTCTGGCTGGCGGGTCAATGGCTCCCTGCCCCTTTATTAAAGTATGATAGGCTGGATAGCAAGAAAACGTTCTGTATTTTAGAAATGCAAGGATTCAAATAAATGTGTTGGATTTAAAATAAATGCAAGTGTTTAATTACACTTCTTCCTAGCTATCTTGAGAGAGGAATTTATCTTGGAGCAGAAACTGATTCTTGGTATGAATTAAAATATTGTGGATTAATAAAAACAACCAGAGGCCTCTGAAAATCCTTCGCAGCTGAAAGGGAGCAGTCGTGGCATCACAGGATGCTTGCGTCCCCAGCCAGTATGACTTGCCTGGCGCTGTCCGGACATTGTGGACTTCAGTCTGCATAGCCAGCGGTCAGGAATCCCAGAACTGCGGTCCAAAACACCTGGAGGCACGAGGCTTGGGCAGGCTGCCCTAGATTCCCATGCTCTCCTTTATGTTATGAGGGGCTTTCCTCCCAGCAGATTAAAAGGATCATGTGAAAAAGAAAATTCGGGCTTGAGTTAGTGAACCAAGGAAAATCGAAAAGTGAGCGGCTAGGAAGCTTTTCTTCTTTTCTTTTTATACTAAGTTTTATTCAAAATTATAACCCTAAAACAAAGAAAAACTGAAAACAACATCAATCATCAGAAACATTGGACTTGCTGGGTCAGCCCCCCCATTTTTTTCCATTTATGATAACTTAGCAACAGAATTAAATCTATACGAAGTCCTGTTTCTCTAGCCAATAATAAAAAGAGTCCCAAGTTTGATAGAAATCAGCATCTTCTTTCTCCTTCAATGACAAAGTCAATCTATCCATTTCCACACTGTCCAAGATCTTTTTAAGGATCAGTTCGTCGGTGGGTGGTTCTTCACTTTTCCAGTGTTGAGTAAATGCAATCCTCGCCACAGTGATTACATGTAAAATCAAGTGCATTTCTTGTTTACTAATATCACCAGGTATAATGCCTAATAAGACGACTTCAGGTTTAAAAGCTAAGGATTTTTGTAACATTTCCTCCAGCCATTGACGCTTTTCTTGCCTGAGTAGATTTTCTTGGCATGTGTTGGTGGATGTTTCAGCTCTCATCTGCCTGGAAAACTGCCTCCTGTATAAATTACCATGAAAAGCCAGTTAAGATCCAGAGCTATTTGTAAGTGCCCTCCCTGTGTCAAAATTGGGCACCTAGCTGGGCTTTTCATGGTACATTTTTCACAGTGTTTTGATTCCCTTTTGAAGACTCGCTAAAGTTCAAGCAACTTCCATAGGTGTTTCATCCTCTTTATTTTATTTAGTATTTCAGTGGTGCAGGTTAAGTGATCAGTCACACTGGTATTTTTAATGTTCCTGATTTGTTCTTTGATCTCGTCTCATAAATGTTGTGATCCCAAAGATAAATAATTTTTAAATAAAAGTGGCCACTTTGGTAAGAGTCCTTCACTTTTTCAGCATCTGAAATCTGGGACGTTCTTTTAAGCAGGTTTTTCATTCTGCCGTCATTCTTATTCCTAACATCTGTAATGCACACATTGGGGTGCACTTGGAAAAAATCATTTCCTTCGTGTTTTCTCAACTGTAGGCCCCTTTCCATCCACTCTGTACTGCAGGTGCTGTGACTTCAAAATAGGACTTGTCATTTAACTGTAATTGGTCCCACTTTCTTTGATGTGTTGCCACTGTAGTCCAGCCTTTGCTGTTGTTTTAACAGGCCCAGAAATGAAAGCCAAATTGTATAGGAGTTGAGAGCAGTGCTGCCCTTCAGTGATTTTCTCCTCAAACCACTTGACCTATTTGCTCAGAGCTATCCGGGAAGATCATGGGAAGGAAATATAGACTTTGGCTCCTACACATAGCGTATTGGCAAGTCAGCGAGGTGATAGGCAAGGCAGTTCTGTTGTTCCTGACGATTGCTCTTAAATACTATTAAATGGTATCATCCCTCCCATTATGGTGCAAAATACCGTACAAGAAAAGGCATGCAGGGCACCGGCAGGTCTTGAAGGCAGAACCATACATTGTGGAGAATATTTGCTTGCGACTTGCCGCTTGTGGTGTTCGTATCCTTGCTGTTCTGGTATGTACTGACATTCCTAGATGTTCATACATGGATGCCGTCGCTCTGATGGTTCTTTCAGTGCCATTTATGTATGCGTGAGCGTAGGTTTGCTAGAAAAATAGAACTAGAGGAACAAACAAACCCGGGGCACAATTCGAGTCGTCTAGGTCTGCTGCCGCTGGTTGCCAGGGTTCGGAATCATAGTTCAGGGGTTGAAAAATGCATGAGATGAGCTTGGAAATAACGAGGTTCTGTTACTGCCTGACTCAATGTCCTCCAGATATGTAGGCTGCTGTAACATGTAGTTAAGAAAATGGTCTCTTAGCCCCGTGCATTACGTATTGTCTGCTTTCAAGCAGCGTGAGGGTGAGGAACGCCTCGCATTGTCTAGTCTCCCAGCAAAATAACGGTGCTATCATTCATTCCTGTGTATGGCTTTTTTTCCTGCTTGGAAGCAATCAGCGCACTGGAAGTTCATGCATGTGACCGAGGGGTCTAAGTGGTGTAATGCTCAGGTGCGTGCTTGCTTGCTTCCCGGCTGTGTGGAAGGAGCACGGCTGCAGGTGCAGGGCTGCATCTGCGGTTCCTTCGGCCCAGGCAGAGCTTTGTCGGAGAACAAGTCTGGGTTAGGGTGGGGGCCTCTCTGTATGCTTGATGATGGGGTGGATTTATTATTTGTGTTTAATAGGTCTTTACCCTGCATACCATTTAAAAAAAACTAAGTGGTTTACAAAAGAATTTAAATGGATTAAAATCAGTTCTCCTATGCGTCCGATACAATTGATCTATATGATAATTGTTAAAATATTTCTATGAAACACCATGAAAACAAACAACTATAATTGACAAAGTGGGCAGCACAGTCTGGTTGGGTTCTAGGTGAACAGGTGGGTCTTTAATTGGCACCTGAAGCATGTTCCGGTTGGCAGCTTCCAAATACCAGGGGGAGGGCATTCCATAACGTGGGTGTCCCCGTGTGGAAGAGCTGCTTTTGGTTGCTGCAGGATGGCAAGACCATGGTGCAACCAGCAAGGCCTCTTAAACAAGCTTAATGATGCCACAGGGCACATTGAGGAAGGTACCTGGTCTCAAGCTTTCCGATGATTTGTATGTCAGCAAGAAGACTCTGCACTCCTGTAGCTTCGGCACCAGTGCAATTTGTGCAGGGCAGTCGTGGCTGCTGGATTCTGCCTCTGTCGTGACTTTCAGACCAAGTACAAGGGTAGCTTCACATAAAGCACATTGCAGAAACCCAGATGAGGGGTCAACAATGCATGGTTTGCAATGGCCATACTGTTCCCGCCTGGGAAAGATTAACTGCACCAGGCAAAGGGCACTACATGCCTCTGAAGCTGCCTGGGCCTGTAGCAACAATGAGGAGCGCAGAAATGCCCTCACATGTTTACCATGCTACGTATCTGTTCCTTCTGAAGGAGGGCAACCCTGCCTAGAACTGACAAATCCCTCAATTCCTGCACTTGGGACCCCTCTTCCTGCAGAGTTTCTCTCTTGTCAACATTCATTCGCAGGGTTTGGGCCCTTATCCAATCCACTGCAGCAGCATGGCTCCAGTTCAGGACATGCACGATCTCTCCTGGGTCAGAAAGTGGAGAAATGGTGCCCCCTCCAAGCCTGGAGACCTCCCAAGGGGGCTCCGTATAGTTAAATAGTATTGGGGTTCTATGTTAATTGTCAGGGAGCCGAGGTACAGCCCCCTCAGTGATGGATTATATCCTTCCCTATCTGAAGATGTCATGGCAAGTCCAACCCCTGGCAAAATTTAAAAGGGTAAGGCAGCAGGTTTCAGAAACGCTCCTGCCTGATGCTTGGGAGAGCTGCTGTGAGGTTGAGTAGACCAGACTTCTCCATGCCGATGTCTTCCAGGTGTTTTGGACTTCAGGCCACATCAGTTCTAGCCAGTGTGGCCGATGGTCAGGATCTGGACGTTGTGTGCTAAAAGGAAGGCATCAAGTTGAGGAAGGTGTAGCTGGGATGCATTTTCCTTTTTCTGTTGTTTGCTTACGCATTCTTTAAACAAACTGTACCATCATCCACAAATGGATTTCAGGGCAGGCACTGTAGATGGAACAATTGAAATGAAGACAATGTTAAGAGAACACAAAGCACGCATATTTCTTTCGAACCTGTTTTCATGCTTCTGTATTGCTTTTTGACTTGTAGGCCACCTTGAGAGGGTTCTGCTCTTAAAGGCAGCCTAAAAATAAGGTTAAATAGATCAGATAAAGTAAATGCACACTAGCACAATGAAATAGAAAAGAATCGAAGGAATATATTGTGGGCTCCAAGCATGCCTCTGTGGAGGGCATGTGAAATTTTTGGGTATCGCCACAGAGAAGGCCCTTGCTTTTGTTAATGGGCAGCTCTTTCCTCCAAAAGCGGAACAGACAAGAAGGGCATCCTCCTTCAATATCGGTAGTTAAACACAGAACCTCTTCAACAGCCCCATTATTTCCCCCTTTTGTTTCCTGGGCCTGATTATTTGTAGTACTTTGAGTTATTTGTTCAAGACTGAGATGCTTAATTCATATGAAAGGTCTAATATCATCTTGAGCTCTTGGAACGGAGCAGGATAAAAAGCGTACAATGGACTAAGAGGCGCACCGGTGGTGATGAGGGGAATGCTTTTCAGGCTGGTCGATGGCGAAGCTCGCCTGTTTCTTTTATGTGGCACTAACAAGGATTTCTGAGGGACCTTTCGATCATGTGATGGTGGTGGGTCTGCCTGCAAGTCTGAGTTTTGAAATAAAATGCTCAGTGAATGATAAGAGAAATAAAGCAGAGGCTGGAGGCCATGTGTCCTGTGATGCCATGTCTTCAGCTGCTTCTCCTTTCTCGCTCTTTAGGACACTGTCCGCCAGTGACGATGTCGAGGACAGGGAGAACGAGAAGGGCCGCCTGGAAGAGGCATATGAAAAGTGTGATCGCGATTTGGATGAGCTGATCGTGCAGCACTACACTGAGCTTACGACGGCCATTCGCACCTACCAGAGCATCACGGAGCGCATCACCAACTCACGCAACAAGATCAAACAGGTGAAGGGCAGCATGGAGCAGAGGGTGCGCTGCCTTGTGGCAGCGGGCGCTTGGCTTTCCCTTCACAATGCGAGGCTGCATTTCTATACTTAGAGAGCCTATTTTCTACTTTTCTGCTTACAATGTACTAAAATGCTGTTTAAAATTATGAAAACATTAGTTGAGTATCATAAAATCAGCGTAATTGTTCCCTCTTTTTCAAAATTTAGGGGTGAGTGCCAGTCTGTTACATAGCCAAAGTTAAAAAACCCAGACTTGAGGGGAGATAGCAGCATGCTTGGGGAAATACCAAGTCTTGCAAAAGTATATTATTATTACTATTTTGAAAATGGAGGGCAACTCTCACCTAGAGAAAAATTACTGCATTTGCACAGAAGCAAAGTGAAAGAGCTGGGGGAAACTACACGGACAATTGTTGTTCCTTAGATTGGGATTGCTTCTTGCACTGGGTCACTTCCCACACTGTGAGCTTTGAAAGGATGGATCTCTGACAGCCTGCACAATCAGCAATCTATGCCTTCCAAGGGCCCAAGCTGAGAAATTCCTCAGAGTAGGTGTCATGAGAGAAAAGGCCCTGCTTCTCCCTGTTGTACATCCTATTTGCATAAAATAGGGAGCTTGGTATAGAGTCTCTCCAGCAGATTTCACCAAACAAGGAAGAAGCCTTTTCTTTGGTCTCTACCAGCAGATTTTACCAAACAAGGAAGAAGCCTTTTCTTTGGTCTCTACCTTCTGGAGTTAGGCACCAGGCAAGATGCAATACTGGCTATAGGAAAAGGCATTGACCCTTGGTCAAGGGGTAGACCCTTGGCCCCCAGCATCTGGTTATGCAGCTGCCCAGCCATGTGATGATGTCTCCTTGAAATGTGGGATTATTATTTTAGTCTGATTATGAATAGAAAGGTGGAACCAACTTCTTGAGCAGCAATTTTGGTGGCTGCAATACTTTCCGAGACTTACCTGGATGCTTAATGAATGCTGCTTGTAATTGGAGAAGTTCATTAAACTTGCCAGGAGAATATGTGGGGGTATTATTGGTGACCTGGAAGGTTTGTGGAGCTGAGCAAACTCTGTCTTGAGTCCATGCAGGGAAGGAGGCATGCCTGGGCAAATAGAGATTGGCCTGGACATGCTGCGAGTGGAAAGGAAAATATGCTTCCCAAGGAAGAAAAGAGGCTTCATTCAAACTGGCATTCTGTGAACAGAAGGGCATCGCTGTTCTTGAGACCATGTGTACTAACCCTTTTGAACTTCCAAATTCATTTAGTATTTTCAAAGGGGAGCCAGGAAAGTCTGATCCCTTCCAAGGGTAGAAGTTCATTTCAGGGATTTATGTACAAAGCTCCCACCTCTGTGAAGGCAGAGATCAATTACACGAAATTTGAAATAAACTATCGCTCCAGCTTACTCAATACAATTAAGCTCTGCACGGGTCAAAAGCAAATGTATAGGCATGGTGACCTTGAGATACCACCTTAAAATAAGTACAGAGAATGAAGGACCTTTTGGTATTTACTGTTCCTGATTAGATTCAGTCAACATGTATTGAAGGGGCTTTTCTTTAACCTCTTGGGAAGTGACAGACAGCATATTGGTCTGATTTCTTTTCTTCTTTCATTCCCCTTCACCCGCAAATCAGTTTGTTAAAATAGCATCCTTTCCATTTCTGTGTCCGCACTCCCCCACCCTCTGTAAGGATATAGATTGCTCAGACTTGGAGAAACCGTTTCATATATTCAGACCCCTTTGCCTGTGCCCTTGGAGCTGTGTGGGAGAGAGGGGGCAGCAAAGAAAATTGTCCTGGTGTTTATTTTTTCTGAACTTTCAGGTTTTCTTAGAATTATATAGTACTTTATTCTGCAAAGGGCATTGTAGGTTCTCCATTTTTTCCTGCATTATTATCTTCCAGCCAATCCTGGGAATTAGATGTATGTGTGAGAGGGAGACAGTGAGTGCTTCCAGACAAGGCTATTGTAGCATGATTGCCTTGTCTAATTAACTGAATGCTGGGGAGGGGGCTGGTGCCATTGTCTCCAATTCAAAGCCCACCATGTTTTCTGACTGCATCTTCTGTTGTCTTTCCTTGAGGCACCATATTAACTAGTATTGCAAGCACTGCAGCAGCTGAAAAGCAGCCCATGGCTCCATCCCCGTTGCTCTGTCCACAAGAAAAAACAAAACAAAAACAATCACCTGTGCATGGAATAAATTAGTCAAAATATGGGCACACTTTGCCAGTTAGTTTGCCAGTAGTATCGCATGCATTTTTCTCCCACTCAGAAATCATTTTTGGCTAAGAGTCGTACTTTCCTGGTCACCAGTAGAGCCATCTGGACTTCACCATCTATGCTCCCGTTTGGAACTCAGGTGCCTGGTGGATGCAGTTGTTGGCCTCTGCTGCACAGCTGTGGAATTTCTGGTACTGCCTCTGTCAGTGCTTCCCAGATATTTGGGAGCTGTGTATTTATGGTGGCAAGCAGCTGGTTGGCTCACTGCATGGATTTGATCTGAGGAACGTTTGTCAGTGGCCAGCAATGAGGCCTGTGCGGCTTTGAGGTTTTCCCCCATAATTGTATCTGTCATGGGCAAACCACCGCAGGAGTGAAACTGGCAACTCTGTGAGATGAATAAGCACCATCTTGGGCTCGGAAGCGTGTATAAAGCTTCAACGGTGAGCCGGGTAAGGAATATGTGTGCCGCCTCCAGCTACAGAAAAACTCATCAGCTACTGAAAGGTCTCCTTTCTGTTTAGGCCTCAGTAGTTCCTGGGTGCTTCCATTACACTGAACTGCCAATGATGCTATAACACCATCCTGTAAACCCCGTGGCAGGGAACCAGAGAGCTGCTTTAGGTCTGCCAGATGGGATTTTTGGTCCCCTCCCCCCAGCACAGCCAAAGCAACTCTGGAGTATTTGACCAGCTGCATTTCAAAGTTCCCCCAGTGGCAAAAGCAGCTGACCGTGTGCAGTGGCACATCTCTTCTCAGGCAGGTGTAGAACTTGTTCTTTGGATTCAGGTCAATGGAAGGAAAAGCAGTGGCCTTTTTCTTTCCATCGTTGGGCGCCAGGTAAAGACCTTTTTATTTAAACATCATTTTAATTGTTAAAATATATGATCTGGCCAGGGCAACTTCTTCTTCCTTCTCTTTTCTCCTCCTATATTATTTATTTACTTATTTTATACTGATAATTTTAATTTTATATTATTATGTTTGTAACTCAATGTATTTTTTGTATTTTTGTATTTAATGGTAATTTATTATGTGCTATTGTATTTCAATGTATTTTATTATGTTGTAAGCCTCCCCGAGGCTTCGGCAAGGGGCAGCATAGAAATGTTATAATAATAATAATAATAATAATAATAATAATAATAATAATAAAAGTGTTCATCTTGGACGTGTTTGACTACCACTGAGGATTGTGCTAATAAAGATCTACTGCCTTCAGAGGTGAAATATCTGTGATTGCAGAACAGGAGTGAGTGGAGAGATGCCCAATAGTAGTAGTAGTAGCTGTACTAAAACACCTGCTGGAAACATGTAGCTCAGGCAGTCTTAACCAGTGAGTGCCCCATCTTTCAAAGATTTAAAGGCAATAGACCTGCCTTCTTCCAGGGTTCCTCCCATCTCCAAATTTTGTTGTACTTCTGCAAACTTGGAGGCTCTTCCAAGCTCGCTGAAACGTCCTCCTTCTCTGCAGAGGCTGCAGTTTTGGCTATCTAAGCAGCGGCACTCAAGGCCCAAGCATTGGAAATAGAGGGAAGGAAGATAATGCTCCAACCTGACAAGGGCAAGGAGGCTGTGCGACAGAAGCTATTAGTCTTGCCTGATGTGTTTTGTGCTACCCTCTACAGGTCAAGGAGAACCTGCAGTCCTGTAAGATGCTTCTGCACTGCAAACGGGACGAGCTGCGGAAGCTGTGGATCGAGGGCATCGAGCACAAGCACGTCTTGAATTTGCTGGATGAGATTGAGAACATCAAGCAAGTGCCCCAGAAGCTGCAGCAGTGCATGGCCAGCAAGCACTACCTCGTTGCCACAGATATGCTGGTGAGAGGTGATAGCCAGCGCTTGATGGACAGCTGTCTGATAAGTGTCTGCGGGATCCGCTATCTGGGCCTGAGTAATTAGATCTGCCATTTACTCCCCTGCTGCATTGTTCTCCTTACCTGTCTCTTTCACCCTCTTCTGTCACTCACTCCCTTTTTTGATCTTCAGTCTATTAACCTCTTTAGTTGCTTTGAAAGCTCTGCTGACTTTGACCTTGTGTTCTTAACCTCCATTCCTGTTCTTTCATCTGTAGTGCTCCATCGAGCTGTCCCTCCTCCTCCCTTCAGCGTTTTATTTCTGTTGCTCTGCTGCTGGCGCCCAAGGCCCTTCTGTCCCTGTTCTGGTTGCCATTCTTTCTGAGGACCGGCTCTTTCTTGCTGTGGCTCTTTGCCCTTGTAGCCAGTCTGTTCACAGTGGGGTTTTCTTTGCTACTGCCTTTTCCTCCTCCTGCCCCGTGTTGCCCTCCCCGTTCATCCCAATTTCTTAATTCTGCCAAGGTCAAGTTCTCAATCTCTTGGCCTTTAATCATGGATAGAATTAGAGAAAAGGTTTCTGATGAAAATGTTCCCTCCAGAATTACAGGTGTATGTATGTATGTATGTATGTATGTATGTATGTATGTATGTATTTATTTATTTATTTAAAGTTTTGTTTATAAGTCTCTGGGTGGTTTCCTGATGATGGTGAGAGGAATCTGGGGCAGTGCCCAAAATTAGGTGGCAGCGGCTGTTGTTGTTGAGAAACCTGCTGTTCACGAGGATCCATTGAGTGCTGGACTTGCTAATGATGATCCGGTTCGTCAGTGCTCCCACTTTGTTAAGGATGCTCCTGAGCATGGCACGTGCTCCTTTGAATGTGCTGCTGGCCACTTACTTGCCCTTCTTTATTCTGCCGGACCCCGTCCGTCATTTGCCCTGATGTTTGTGTCTCCTCCCATGAGGCCTCATTTCTCTATCTGCCAAGCTGAGTTGCCCTTTCCTCTAAATTCCTTTCTCAGAGCTCCCTAAGAAATAGGATGCTCAGTGAAAGGAGCCTCTGCTTATCCAAACCGTTCCAGGGCCTACAGGTGTTTCCATTGCCGATCCTGTGATTTTAAATTGCACGCATTTGTCTGTATAAAATACTGTCCGAAAACCCACTAGTTGAGTGGTAGAGGGGAATTGTAGCAGTGTTAGACGTTCCCATTAGGGGAACGAAGTGTAATCTCCCCCAGTGCAAGAAGATCAGAATGTTGCCTCATAAGTTTGGGAGGAAAAATAAAGGTAGCTTTTTTTTCCCAAGATGTCAGATATGGGTATTCATAAAGAGAGAGGATTAGCTTAATTCCTATTCTTCTCAAGAGAGCCACTTCAGCCACTGACTTTTCTTAGGTCTACACCTAAAGGTGTACCTAAAATGTGAGTCTTACAGACACCTTTGCAAACAGGTATCGTTTGCACACCAGGGAGCAGTGACTGGCCAAGCCTGCTTGTGGAGGGTACAGGGCACACTCAGGGCAAACCTGGGTTTGCGTCTCTGTCATGTGTGAATTAGCCCTGAGATATTTTAACATGTATATTAATGTCCAGTTAGTGAAAGTGTGAACTGGTTAATAACCATTAACCATTTGGCACCCTCAGTTACTGTATTGAGCTTTAAATGCACAGAGCACTTCATAGCCGCTGCTGTTTTGCCCTCAGTTTCCCCATTGGAGGGACCCAAAGCTATGAGGGTCTTGCACTGGACCACGTTGTGAATCTCCACAGCTCTTGGTGGAATTTGAAGGCAGGTCTTCCATGCCCACGTCCTGGTTTCTGTCTTCCGACGTGAACTTTGTAGCTACTGAACTTAAAAATGTGGCTGACCTGAAACTGGTTTATTCTTTTGAGTTGTAGTGGACTGAGACAAAATTGAGCTCCTCTTTGTTTTCTGGGAAACGCATCTCCTCTCTTTACATCCCTCAGGATGGGCTTGCAAATCTTTTTCTTCTGAAAATACAGTTTTCCTTTTTTTCTTTTCTTCCTTCCTCCTCACTTGCTTTGCTGCAGCAGGAAGCTAAATGCATCGAGAATGGAGCTCCTTGGCTTCAGCCCTCTTTAGCTTGCTTCTGTCTTCCCAGCAGAATGATGTCATAATTGTGCTCTTGCTTTTGGGTAATTCCATTCTCCCTCATTGTATCATCTGAGCAGTCTATAAAATAATTATTAAACTGTCAGGGATGCATAATGTTTTTGGATCTCCTTGTCCTTTGTCCTCAAGGTAAACAGCTGTTGGCTTATCAAAAGCCAAAAATGATCTGACAAAGACGCCAATATCTCTCATGTTGAAACGGGAGAACTGATAAATATTGTTGCCTGTAGCTTTGTGATATGTGCAGTCTAAATTAGACCTTTGCAGTCATTGTGTGGGCTTGATGCAAGCGCATTAATGGCATAATTTCTGGTTGCTGCATCACATTTTTGCAGTCTGTTCTTTGTATTCCACTCACATTAATTGAAGTAATTTTGCCACTGAAGCGTGTTTCCAACCTCTGCATTTAAATTGAAATTTTAATTCCCTTATTGTTTGGCAAAGACGTCTGAAGATGGCTTGTTACAGGTTTCATTATCACTCAAAACACTCCAGCTGGTTCTAATGTACAATGATTAATTCTGGGAAGGCTTACTAATGTAAGAAAGGCAACCTTTTCCCAGAAGCGGGAGCAAAGCAGCAAAGGTATTTTGGTGATGGCTGGTATTTATGGAAAGCTAGATGAAGAGAAATGTGTGTTTGTAGCTGGCTGTTGACAGCTTAAAACTCAAAGAGGTGAGCTTTACAAATTATCTGAAGAAAGTTCTGTGTATTCATTCTATGAATGAATCTAGCAAGAATAAGGCTGGAAAGCTGTAGCAACCACGAGCCATGCAGAAAAATGATGCAAGTCCTGTTAGATAACTGGATGCTTATGCAGGGAAATAAGTCCATTGGTTGGGGGAAAATGTTACACATTCTGTTTCTCTGGCCCCAGAAAAAGTTGCTTAAATCTGCTCCAAACTCCTGAGCGTTTGGGATCATCTGGGGACAGGCAGAGAAGATAGTGACGTTGTGCTCTCTCTGTATGCATGTAAAGGAAGTTGCTTTATTATCAAGTTGGGCCATTGGTCCATCTAGCTCAGTATTGCCTGGGAGCAGCTTCCTGTCCCTAGCAGACAGTATTGCTATGGAAAGCAAAGCAGAAGAAAGAAGGGGAGGGAGACCTTATATGTGATGGATCGATTCCACAAAGGAAGCCACAGCCTTGAGCTTACATGTTCTGAGCTGATCCATGAAAGGCAGGACACTTTGGAAGGCGCTCATTTGGTGTTCTCGCTTCTCAGTCAGGAGTTTTTCACAATCCTGTTTGGTGATGTGGAGTATTGAACCCGGGACCTTCAGGGCAAAGCTGGAGCGCTGCAGTCCTTTTCTACCAGGCCCACAACCGTGCAGTGGCAATCCAAGGCCTCCCCCTTTGGCCAAGGCTGTGGTGTTCCATGTGCCTGCGATGTCTGCTAGAGGCACCGTGGGGTGTGATGCAGAGTCAGGCCTCCCTTTATTACTACTTCCTGGAGTGCACAGAAGCTAAGAAGCCAGTTTCCTGGTGAGCTGTGGATGGGGAGTACAGAATAGGCTATCCGAACCCGTTCCCTCGACTCATTTCCTTTCCGCTGCGTCCTTGTTACACCGTGCATCCATACGCGAGTGTTTTCTTCCCTTTTCATGGTGTTGCTTCCCATGAATCATCCTGGGTTCTTGGCTCAGCCAGGGCCTTTCTCCATGCACTTCCTTGCTGTGGCACTTGCGGTCTGGGCTGCATTCAGGCGCTGGGTTTGGCATTGTGTGTCCTCACTCTGTGTTTTTTCTCCAGGGAAGCCGGGGCAAAAGGGGTAGCCTTACTTGGAATATGCCTTTCCGTGAACCCGAAAGGGAGAAGGGCATCAATTGCATGTGCGCGTGTGTGAGCTGTAGGGGGAATGACTATTCATGTAGCCGCGTGTCTCAGATGAGTTTTGGAGTGTTAGGGAAATAAGTCTGAACCTGAATCCAGACCGTGACTGTAAAGTCAGTCTTACGGTCGGCTACATTAACAGGAGTGTATATTGACAAGCCCAGTTCGTACTGAACAGTGCCTTCAGTCCGTAGTACATGTATGCAGTGACGTATAGAACAGCGGCTCAGAAAAACGAATTGCCCCCTGGCCTGTGCGTGTATGGCAATAAGCAATCTGTTTGTACATCTTTGTTTGTATAAAATATACCAGTTCCATTGTTTGCTTGAATGTGTGAGGGCTTAAACTGGGTAGGGGACGAGCCATGCCTCTCAGGTGGAATTTTCTGTGCAATCAGGGTCCTGATCACACCAAGTTCCACTCACATTGAAGTGAGTATCCGGCATCCTTTCTCAGCATGGGACAGGAGGGGGTGGGGGATGGTGTTCAAGGAGGCGGGGGGGGGGCAGTGATACTGTTTGTGGGCCCATCTTCATACCCAGTTTTCACCCTAACATATTCAGATTGAATTCCTGAACAGAGCTCACTTACCTGTACATATAACAATTGTGAAAGACAGGTGGATGGGGGATCCTTCACCGACTGCAAGTTCGACCGCTACACTCAGGCTGTGGGGAAATAAAGAGAGGAAGCACTATGCAAACAGTTCCAGGACTGAAGAAATAAATACTGTACTAGGTCCTCCACCCCACTTGAATGATACTTTGTTGGAATTTGAGTGTTCTGTTCTGCATGCTTTAGCTCAGAAAGGCTTCTGAACCATCGGAACGGATTTACAGTTTGCAAAACAATAAAGGGCCTCAGTTGCGTGCAGAGTTGCTAACATAGTCATGGCCAGATCTGGTCTATCTTAAGGGAAACTATATGTAACCACATTTTCAGAGATTTTGCAGTAAGGAAAGCTAGATTTGGTGATCATGTAAGCTAAGCAGACCAAAGTGTGTTTTGAAGACTTCTCTTGCTTCTGTTTGGAAAGACAGGCAAAAAGCTATTTCTC